TAAATAGGACAGTAACCGTTCCTGTTGATCTCATTCCGTTATCAGAGCTTGTAGGTTAAATTCATCACTTTTTCCTTCTGTTGTTATAGCCCTCAGGGGAGGAATCAGACTTTTGAAGACAAGCGGCGATGTTTACCCAGGAAAGGCTCCAAAAAGCTAAAGCCACCAAGGGAGGAGACATGCTCCCTGAAGCAGCCACACTCTGGGAAAATGTGTCCGAAATGTGAAATCAGCATCTGCAAGAAGTGTGAGACCCTGCACTCAGAGAGCAGTTTTATTGCCCACAGCTTACTGGATCATTATGACAGAGGAGGCCATGTTACCTGCAGCACTGCAAGCTCTAAAGGCCAACATGGATGCAGGGATAATCAGAAATGTGCAGTGGGTCCAGTCTTTGTGCCTGGTTGTGCATCTTTCTAACATTACAGCATGGATCCCACACTTGAGCCCATACAATGCCAAGCCTAGAGTCTGTGTAGATTCAAATGCAAGATCATGAGGCTAAGATTGCATTGTATTTCATGCTTGCCATATATAGCAGATATGGCCTTACTAACCTAAGCAGTGTAAACTCTTCATGGGTGAGGCTGTTCATACGTGGGAGCTGAAAGCTTTTTACACTAGAGGCCCTGGGTCTTGTTTCAGTAACACTTGACTCCTAAATAGTGCAGGAAGCTCTGTTCTTCATACTGCTCTAGGTGGAAGCAGGTTACTGAGCTGCAGCAGTAGTGCAAGCTCCTGAATGCAGAATTGCATTGTTTTGTATTACATTTGTATGCTTTGTGCAGGGATGTTCCCAGATGGCTACTGTTCTGGGATATTAAAGCTTTATTTATTTTTAAACATTAATTGTAGCATCTATAAGTCATAGAGCAACCTAAGAGCAAGTCCTCAGCTTACGTACAATGTAGACACTGCAAGGCCCTGCTAATATGTCTGCAGGTCAGATTCAAACACTCCAAGAGATTAGAGAAGTTCAGCCTCTAATGCACTCATTCTGTGGCCTCTCACCGTGAAATGACTACCATGAGCACTATCAAGACAAGCAGGTTTTAACAGGTCCAGCAACATAAGTTTAGGCATATAAGGGACTTTACTGTTAGAAACTTATGGTAAGTCCACACCAATATTTAGGGTCAACCCTGAGGGTCAATTCCACAAACCAAGCCTTCTCTATATCTTACCTTGTAGCTGCTGCACTTCCTCTTCCTTGAACACAGGCTTTCTTAGAATCAGCCACCCCACTAGTCTCTTCTTCTGTACTTGAATCTAATTAGGAACAGTAGAAATAGGAAGTGGGGTACAGAAGGACTGGAAGTCAGAAGCAGAATGTTGTGGGATTGCTGATGGCGATCTCCCTGTGTTTTCTATCTGTATCTATCAGGTGAGGTGTGAATACACTTCAGGGAAGGGCAAGCTATAAAATAGCTATAAAAAAGCTAGCAGTTCCAGCCTGCGAGGGGCTGCTTACCTCCCACCCTGCCCCACACCCCTCCGTGCCCCACACACTGGGGGCCTGTGCATTGGGAGTGAGGGGCACCAACAGGGCCAGGGGGCTGTTTTCTACTTAAACTATTTACTGGGTTGGGACTGGCCATCAATGCTTACAAATGGGTCCTGGTACAAAAAAGGTAGAGAACCACTGGGCGACAGCACTCCCCTGGGAGGTGGAATTGGTGGGTCTGATAGCCAAGTCTCCTATTCCCTGAGCCTGGATTTTATGATTTTATTCACTCCTACCCTTTCCTTTGGCTGTTTTGAAAGGTAAACAGCAAGTCCTTTACCAATGAGAGAAGATTGCAGGTCCCTATTTGATGGATGAGCAGAACTTAAGTGCCAGATAAGATCAGTTCATACATACCTGAGGGTGTTTTCTACTAATTAGCTCTAGGCAGTTCTATGCTCAGCATGCTGTTTTCTGATGAGTCTTTTCTCCACATAGGGATCCTGGGTATCTGATAGAGGTTTTGGGGGTCAGGGGCCTAGAAGTCAGATGTTGTAGCACCTACCTTGTCAGTACCTAAATGGGACTAAGCCCAAGTCCCCTCGTCACCTTCAGAAAATAAGGCCTGTTCTAAGTCAAAAAGGAAGTTGCTGTAGGGAGGATTACTTGTACATATCCAGAACATTGGTGAATATTAAAACATTTTAAAAGGAAACAATGTACAATATGTAAAATATGATATGTGCAACTTTGAGGGGCTTGTTTAAAGGAAACTTGCCTTGCATGAGATGAAATACAGAATATTTCTAAGCAGCAAGCTTCAATACTGACTCTAAGGATTATGTGGATGTGCAGACTCTCAGATTTGTAAGGCGGGTGATACAAAGAATAAATAAAAAGAAAAATTTTAGTGACTATTTTACTTTGGTTGGAATACTAAGGTGCTACTTGTCCCTTGAGTTGGCCCTTTTGGGTCCATTGTGAGGTACAGCGGCAGTGCAATGTGGGAAGTTTGCACTGATGTACTTTGATTTTTTGGCCAGAGGCTTTTCCTCTTCAAGACCTGCAGCAGTTTTACTCCAGGAGAATTTCGTTAAAGACTGACATACACGAACATACAATTTAAGCTTTTTCTTTAAAAAAGCCAACTCAGACGTACTGTGTCAGGAACGCTGTCTATGTGAATGACAAGAATGATAAGAGCAATATTGGTTACCGACTTTAAGAATGACACTTGAAATTGTATTTTTATTTAATTCCTTGATGAATGAAACTTATTCTAGTCTGATACATAATTACTAATCATCTATAGTACTTAGTTATCCAAGCTCAATACCTCCAAGGTATTAAAGAATATTGTCAAGTTCTATAACATTAATAAATGAACAGACTTTTATAGCTGCTGTTCATGAGGAGATAGGACAATCAGAATCAATGCAGTCTACTGTTCAGAAATAATACAGGGATAAAATAGTTATGAAATCAAAATATATACATACACCTATGCAGGACTGAAAGCCATGGGATCTTTTCTTTTTGGAAAGCAAATTTTGACTTTACACTTGATAACCCGTGGACTATGTACTTGTAAGCAATTAGCTATAACTTTAAAACAGAACAAAACGGGTTTAAAGTTACTGCATTTTAGCTTCACTTATACCAGTAGAGGAGTGGACTTACTAGATATATCAAAGCAGCATTCATTGCCGCTGTTGCTTCCACACACTCTAAGTCCATCCTTTATTCCGTAAGCAAAGAGACACTGTGGAACAGAGGGCTGTTAACAACTTTTTACAATTACTCTTCTCCAAGACTACTTAGCGTAAAACCACATGAATCCAAAGGTGTTTCATACACAGACTTTCAGTTTGTAGCTACGGTTCTTTGTTTTCTACAGTTCTGTGGACTTCTACCTTTCCTAGACGTTTGAACTTCAGGAACTCATTTCACTTGATAAGATTATGCTTCTAGTTCCCATTGTTAGCAAAACAAATCTTGAAATAGCTAAATAAATTCAGCCTGATCCTGTGATATCTAAAGGAGTCTGCAATCAGCCCGAAATAATACCTCAGAGAAGTAAATGGTGCCATTTGCTTCAGTGGGATGTTAAGACCAAAATGTAGCAATTTAAGATATATCAACATAACATTTTTTGTTGCTGATCATTGTTGTAGCAATATCCTGTTACCAGGTTACCACCTCAGTGCTAGAAGTCCCAACCTAGATGATAAAGCTTCTCGCCTGCCACTGTCTCTACAACAATTATGTTCTTCAGTATAGGCACCTGCATGCCATTGAAAACTGGCAAGCAGAAAACAGAGCAGCAGATCAGGCAGGGAGCACAGGGCTAGAAGCAGAAGGCAGAGTAGCAGATTGGGCATGAGAACAGGACTGGATAGCACTTGGAGAAAGTATGGGTCTAATCTGTGGCCTGCCTTGCCAGTAAAGGTTGGCCACCACTCACTGACTAGACCATCTTTCCTCTTGCCGTGGCCATACAAGCCCTGACCACCCATCAGGATAAATATGGGTACCTTCTACCTTTCCTCCCTGGAACTGGGAGAGACTGCATCTCACTGAATAACAGACACACAAGCTCTAAATAATTTGACTATTAGGCCTGCGCGAAGTGGCTAGTATTCGCTTTGGATTCGGCCAATTTGGGGGACAGTGATTCGATTCCATGATTAAAATCACTGTCCCGAATTGATTTGGCCGAATACGATTCAGAGATTCAGCCGCCACCGAATTGACCAAATCTCCAAATCGAGCGGGCCCCATCCCATACCCGCTCTCCAAGCCCCGTCAATGGCTGCCTGCCCAGCCCCAGGGTCCAGGCACTTAAAAAAAAAGGCCCCAACTCACATCTGGCAGAGATCCCCCCATGGTCCCCCTCCTCCCTCCTTTAGCCCCTCCGCCACGCTTACCGGCATGGAGTCCAGGTCCAGCTCCCTGTGGCAGCAAGCAGGGACTGCCCGAATCGCCAAATCTCCTCTGAGGCTTTTCTGAATCGATTCGGAGGCTTTGAATCAATTCAGACCTTTTTATTGGTCTCTTGATTAGATTCGGAATCAGAGATTTGGCTGCCGAATCAGCAGCCAAAGCTTTGCACAGCCCTATTGAGTATCTCTGCTCTTGCACAGCAGAATAAACATGTCCAACAAAAGGCTGTGAGTGCTCATTTTTAGGTAACTAATTAGCTGAAGATGATGCATCTCCCTTTACTCTGAAGACAGATTGTGGCCAGTGAAAGAGTTTCTTCTCCCTTTCCACCATTTGTTCCTGTTCCTGCTCCTGCCAGCAGAGGGATGATATACCACACAGTGATAATTAATAAATAAGAAAACAATTGATCTATTACCAAACAGTTACAATAGACTTTACTTGCAATGTAAGAAACAGCAGAGTATGAGGGAAAAAATATTCCCAACAGTGAAGAGCAGTACTGACATTTCAGCCCTTGAATATCCAAAAAAAAAGCCAAGCCATTATACACAACGCTACCTGGGCTCAGATCTATCTTCTGAGCTTTAAAGAGAACAAGACATTCACTATGAACAAAAGTAAAATCATCTTTAATGAAATTTCTATGTAAAACAATTGTTTAGTCAAAGGTAAATATATATTTAATTCTATTTCAAATGTCAACAAGAATTGAGAGCTACCAGTGTTCTTTGGAGAACAAGCAGTAGTTAAGTTCCATCTTGCTGATGTTCAGAAACAGTATGTTACACCTTAAACCAGCAGTTCCTATTGCACATATCAAAATTGCTCTCCATGTAAGCACCAAAAAGCCTGGTACCTCACAAAATAAATTAAAACAAATCCTGTTTCTTGAGCAACCATTTTAAACTGAACACAAATATCATGGTAAAGTAATGTTACTGCAAGCTTTTAATAAATACAGTAAAAACAGATTTATAGTTCATTGGTGTTTTATACAATGTCAATTTTTACACACGGATTTTTTTAAACCATAAATAATTGCCTTGTTGAACAATTTCCTTTTTTTTGGTACATATGCTCTGTTAATTGGTGCTTTATTACACACACGCATATACACACGCACACACATATCACAAAGTGGGTCTGTGCATGCCTCAAGTCTGGAACATGGACTTCAATGGAAGACTTTCAAGCAATTCTGCTAAACATGGAATAGCTTTGCTTCTTGCAAAAGTTAAAAGAAGAGGTTAAATTTCTCCATCTTCTTGAAGGGACTTTCAAAAGCAATCACAATTGATTTAATTTTGCTCCAGCTGAAGTCGGTATGAATTTATGAACAACAGGCCAATACTTAGCACTTGTAGGTATTCCATCCTTCTTGAAGAACTCCCCCAAGAAATCTTACAAATGTCTATATGCTGTTCTTCTGGCAGCAGGATAAGACTTTAAGCAGCTCCCTATAGTAAACAATACTGTGGTTGCTATTTACAGTAGTTTTAATCCATCTGTGCCAGTGTGGCAGTTTTCATATGAAAAATATACACAATATGGTCATTTTTAGCCAAAATTAAGATATCAACCCCCCCCCAACAAAAACAACAACAACACCTTACTCCTCTTTTAAGCTTCAATTTTAAAACAATGAACTGTTCCAAGAGAGGTATTTCAACCTCTTGAGTGTGTGTTAGAGTATATTACCCCAACATATAAAAACAAATATTTACTCTGTCTTAAAGTACCATATAATTAAAAAATGCCTAGTAGCTCTCCGTGTGCAAAGTCAGCAGGAACTGATTATCCAGGAAGTTTACTATTTGTACAGAAAAATTTTGGGATCAAGCATTTGGAAGCAGAGTGCAAAAGAATCAGGAATTATTCAGGCCATTTCCCGTTTTCTTTTTTTTAAATATTCTGTTGGTCCAAGCTACAGATCCCTTTTTAAAACACGCATTGGCAGGGTAACGGTCGGCTTAGTGCAAATCCAAAACACACCTAGGATCTGTAATCCTTCCTAACAGTGTGAGCCATCCAATTCACTTTAGTAGTCCAACTTTCCCGGAGTGCTTCATCAAATTTTTGTTTAAATTGCTTTAGTGCTTCTTCCTCACTCTTCCCTAAGGCAAGAGAGTCCTACAGAACAATAAGAAAACAAAAATAAGGCTTAAAGTATAAAAGCTGCTTATGTCCCCCTTGGCATTCTAAAGTAGTCTAAAATCATATTCTGCTTTTTCAACTTGAGGAAACTGTAGGATGTTTTTGAGAAGCTTTCTGTGCTCTCTCTAGCCAGTGTTTCCTTGTTTCCTGTTAAAACAGTAAGAGAATTGCTGAAGAACAGGTCCCTAAGCGCACAGTTCAGCAACATCCTGAAGATGACAACTCAGTGTTGGGCAACAGAGAAATGAATCAGCTGAGGAATCTAAAAATGACCGCTGGCAAAAGCTGGTATGGGAAATGTACTTTTGCCTGAAGGCTGCAAACATGCTGCATGTTACAACATGCTGGTCTGTTTTATTTTCTAAAATATCCTAGTAGCCCCTAATATGAAGGCATGCTACCTACTGTTTAGATCAATGGTTCTCAACCTCTTTAGACTCAAGGCACCTCTCAGCAAATGCTGGCTTTTCGCTTTCATTCAGTTCTTTACTACAGAAAAATAATAAAGCAATCTTCAGTTGCAACGAATCCATAAAGACCACAACAGGTCAGAATGTTTCTGACACAATGGATTTCTTTTTCAAACCACTGATTTATCTTGTAAATTATGAGGTAGTGTTTCCATACTTATCAATGCTAATAGTGAGTGGCACCCTTAAAAAGATCTTGCAGCACCCTGGTTTAGATGCTATTACCTTTTATTTTGACTCAGAAATTATGTTAACCTTTTTTCCCCTTACATCACTGGGCTCCCAGGTTGATTTCTGATGTAAAATACATGCTGTTCTAAATACACTTAGCACCTCTGAGAATCGGTATATTGACACAGAAAAATCTCGTTTCAGTGTCTTACATACTGCATGGAGGAGGGAAACTGGCATCTCCATTCTAGAAAGCGCTTGAGGAAATCTCAAAACATTTATATGGAGCGGAATCTCAGAGAAATGGACTTGGAAAAATAAGCTGCTTAGCTGTGGGATCATAAGATCAAATCCAGAAGATGTACTAAGTCACACTGAGCTTTAGCTTTTGTTCTTACCTTTAGATACTGGATATCCTTGATAGATGTTAGTTCTGGAAGACCTGCAGTTAACATCAGTGCAAAGAGTGTGATAAAGAGGTTACCATGTCTTCGCAGAATCAAGTAGGCTTCTTCACAATACTGGCGGAACCTTAACATCCATCAAAAAATATACACACAATGAGTGTGGAGTATGAGAAAATACAATGAGAGCAATCTTTAGATAGAGTCTCCTATCCCAATGCAAATATTTTTAAACGAAAGTAAATTCATCATTCTACTGCTGTCTAATATAATACTTGTGCGTTTTAAGCCTTCAACTGTTCCAATTCTTTTTGTTTGTCAATACAAAGTGCATCAAGACAACATCAAATTGAACTGTAGGTTTACTGGCAACATATCTCCAATCGCAGACAGTTTTATAGCTCCGCCTACCAGAAAGAAGTAACAAAGAGATTTGCCAAACAATGTCTACACATCGCTCTCCCGATTACTTTGCCAGTTGACAATTTCCAGAGCAAAATGACAGCAGAGACCAGAGGAAAGCACAGAAAAATTCCACTTCCCAGGAAGACGCAGAAAGGAGGTAGAAAGAGAAGAAAGGACTGTGGTGCTTCATTGTTGGTTTTTTTCCTTGTTAGCTGAGAACCTAAAAGTTGTGAGCTGGCTTCAAGGTCTTAAGAACAAATGATGAATCCATACTTCCCTTCTGTCCTTCATCATCTGCTAAAACCAGATTTCTTCCCTTCCTGTTCCACCCTAATTTATGTAGATGAGTTAGAGTTTGGAGTAATGAGAAAAAAAGGTAAGAAAGGAGTTATGGATGCTCGAGCAGATGTGGTTCTTAAGATGCATAGCCAAATGGATTCTATTCCTAAAGTATGAGCATCCAATACAAGTATGCTTGGATTTGTTCTTGCTACAGGGCAGTATCTATTTAGATTGTACCTGCACCCTAATATCACACCTCTGCCCACCAGCAGAAAAGGGCAGAATGGGCCCAACAGTCAGAGAAAGACTATGCTTCACTAGCAGGACACGAGATTACTGTAAGGCAAGAGACAATTCTCTCTTTTTCAGTTAATTCAAAGTCCCCTTGTACTCCACTCTGGGTGACTGACAAGCAATTGTCTGTTTCAGTGGAAATCAGCACTGTTACTCCTTCTTAAACAATGCTTACCAAAAGAGTATCTGATTGATTGAAAAACAGTAACCAGCAACAGCATTTTGTAAATGTGTCAGTTAAAATCCATATTGCTACTGTAAGCAGCTGAGAGACGGGGACATTCTTCCAAAAAGGTAGCAAAGGCTTCCTGAGGCCTGAAGAAACAGACCCACATGTGACTATATGGAACATACCTGATCAAGTTGTAAAGTCATTCTTATATACATAGAGACTAGGGCTGTGCAAAGTTTAGGTTGCCGATTCGATTCAGTGGAGATTCTGCCCGATTCAATGGCTGAATATCCGAATTGAATCAGGAAACCCATTAATCTCTCCAAATCAAATCAGAAGCCTCCGATTTGACTGGGAGAGATTCCATGATTCAGACAGACACAGCTTTATATGTTTTTTCTACATACCTCAAGGTACGAGGCAGCTTGTAAATGCTAAGATGGTGGGGAGGATGGAGCATCCTATGGGAGCACGGGAGAGGGGCGGGGGTGGACTAGCACTTCTAGTCCACTTCTAGGTCCGCTGCGGAGTGCATGGGGGGCCCTCCCCCTACCCCCTGGCTCAGCGACTGGTGCCTCCTGGGTCTGGGGGGGCACCTAGGGTCCCCGTGCAGCCGATCACTGAGCCAGCAGGGCGTTGGTGGGGGAGGGGAGGGGGGCTGCTGCTGAGCATGCAGGGGGCTCCCTTGTGCTCCTGTGGGATGCTCCATCCACCCCACCATCTCAGCGTTCATGAGCCATGTCTGGTACCTCAAAGTATGTAAAAAAAAAACAAAAAAAACATTTAAAAGCTGTGTCTATGACTGAATCACTGATTCTCTGAATCAGAATCAAATCTTCAGATTTGGATTTGGCCAAATCGAATTGGGACAGCAATCTGAATCAACTAATCAAATCACTGTCCCCTGAATCAGGCCGAAACCAAATCCAAATCAAATATGGCCCGCTTCGCAAACCCCTACTAGAGACCTACTTTGATAATTCTGTGAGGGTACTGCCTATCCCATAATTCTGTCAGCAAAGGCCATAAATGGTCTAGGTATGTTTGACTGCATTCATCCTGGAAGATGAATAAATCACTCTGAATGAAACTTAAACAAGTCTAGGCCAGACTTTAGGACGGAGCCTGAAAATAACAGAGTCCCATAAGAAATGGGTCAAGGACAGACAAAGATGAAGTCTCGAATCCTTCCCTACTCTTTTACCTAATATAATAGCTACTAAAAAGAGAGTCTTCATTGACAGGAAGTATTGTGAACTAGTTGCTGAGCACCATCAACCCATCAATATACTAATATCCCAAGAAGGAAGGGAAAAGCTTAAGGAATCTAGCTCATATAAAGTGAAATATCTAATGTAACCTTGGATGGGAGAGTGGTAGGCAAATGCTGTTGTTAAGGTGGACACTTATAAAACTGAAAAGCAAATCTAGACTATTTCAGAGCTAATAAATAACTCAAATATTGTTGATAGGGTCGTTGTTGTTGAGAAAAGCTGGAGCCAAAACAGAAAACCTTCTGGGTCTTCGAATGAACCGTAGCGGCTGGCTGAGGACTATATGCTGCCATGCTCTGAATGACTAAAAGGTGCAGCAGAGCAGTGGGTGTGATCCAGAGAGGAATATAACATATACAGAGCTAAAAAGCCTCCTGTAAGAAGAAAGGTGACCTGACTTTTCTGCCTTGCAGAGGATTGGGGGAACATGGGCACATACTTCAGGGTAACCAGTGGGGCCATGACTAACATGTATATGAATACTGGACTGGTAGCTTTGGAGAACAGCAGGAGGGGGTTGCTTTACAACTCAAGGCTAAGTACAGACAGTCAAAAAGTCCACGACTGAATCAATTAAATCTTTGCAGGTTTCTCTAAACCGCATGAATTGAATTGATAAGGAAGTGAACTGATGTTCACTTTTCAAACAGGAAAAGCAGCCAGTCCCCTTCAGTGGCCAAAACCTGTAGCACTAGAGCATGCCTAGAGGGTGGGAGGCACTAGAGCATGCCTCCCAGCCTGCTGGCCACTGCAGAGAGCTGGGAGCCATGCAGTTCCCCAAGTCACACCCCAACCTCAGCCTCTGGGCCAGCTGAAGTAGGGGTATGGGAGGGGAAAAACCCACTCCTCCGGCCTGGCACCAGACACCCAGATGGGAGAAGCCTGGCAGGAGGGGGCGGAAGAGTAGGAAGGGGGAAGCTCAAACCCAGGGATTTCCTCCAGCTGCCAGGAGCTGGGAGCGGGGCTGGAATCCAGCAACCATGACCTCTCCTTTGTCTTTGGGTCGGCTGAAGGAGGTAGCAGGGGAAGCATGTGCTGGGGCTTGGTTCCACCTCTTGGAGCTGGGAGCCAGGAGCAGGACTGGAGTCCCCCAGCTACATCATCCTCCCCCACCCCACCCCCTCAGTCGCTGGGCTGGCTGGGGAGGGAGGGCAGGCAGGGAAAACCCACATGGGACTTGGCTCCACCCCTGGAGCTGGGAGCTAGGAGCGTGGCTGGAGTCCCCCAGCCATGCCCCCCTCCTCAACCTCCAGGCCAGAGACTGAGAAGGGGGGCATGGCTAGGGACTCCAGTCCCACTCCCGTCTCTGGGGGGATGGAGCAAAGCCCTGGTGCGGGTTCCGCCTGACCAAACCCCATGTGGGCCAGACGCTGAGGAGGGAGGCATGGCTGGAGAACTCCAGCCACGCTCTTGGCTCCTGAGGTGGAGCTAAGATCCTCCTCCACCCCCACCCCAGGCTGCTTCTGGCTGGGGGGGTCCAGTGCTGAGCCAGAGGGATGGGTTCCCCATCCCCACAACCCTCTCTTCAGCCAGCTAGGTGTGCTAGTGTTCTGGGTAGGGAACACAGGGGCAGAGTAGACCCTGCTCTGCTGGAGTAGGCAGCACAGCCCAGGGCTGCAAATCATCCGACGATGCTGGGGAACCATGAGTTAACTTGAACTAGGAAGAGATATGCACTAGAAGTTCCATAAACCGGTTTGACTTAAATCTGTTATGTCTGATTCTACATCCAGTCGGGTTCATCTTAAACCAGTTTTAGCCATTTTGAAAGCAGCTTAAGTGCACTGAACTTCTGTTCTGTTACAGGTTTAAACCTGTTTCCAATCACTTAAACTGGTTTATGTGCAACTTTTATCTCTAGCCCAAAGGCTTAGCTTCTGCTGTAGCAGCTCAAGTTCTGCTACTAGAGAGTGGGAGAACTGGTGTACTAGCTATGAAAAATGTGTACAATACCACAATAAAATGTCCCTAGGCCCCGGGCACCACTCAAAAAAAAATCGACAGCAAAATGAAAGTTTACTAACTGCTTAATAACTATACTGCTAAGCGCTAACACTAAAATAAGACTTGCAAAGAAGCAGACTGATCTTTGCTGCCAGAGGTATTAAAAAGGATGCAAGGAATGAAAACTTGCTTTATGCTCTCAGAGGGGAATGTGAGAACATTAAAAGGACAGGCAAAGCAGCTGACACTTAAAAAACAAGGTACAAACACACAAAGAATGGAGCTCATGCAGAAAGCCTCTGAACAAGGAGAAAGGAATCTAGGAAGTACTCCATGCATCCAGGTCAGGATAGAGAAAGACCAATGGAAAGCAGGTGGTTAAGTTGGTGCTTACAAAGTAACTTTGAATGCCAGCTCTCTTGTCTTCATGATCCTGGTAGGGAGAACTATATTGATGACACTAATTGTTGTTGCTGGATAGCATGGTAGAAAGAGGGGCATCTGATAATGCTCAGTAGAAAAATCAGCCTGCTATCACCAAAACTGTGCTGTGATAGCTAGAATCTGATGGTACTGGAATGGCAGCAGGGTGGCAGAAATGGTGATATTGTTTTTCACAAAACAACTGAAAAGTGTGATAAAAAAATGTGGGGCTTACTTTTACATTGAGGAAAGTAATTTACAGATACACGAAACACCAATTAAAACACTCCTGTACTTCCAAGCAAACCCTTTTTTTCTTTTTTCATCATGTCAAGTTCTCATCATATCAAGTACATAATATAGTTACAGATCTCTGTTTTGTGGTTGTGGCATCACCAGTGAGAATGCAGACTTTTGAAACAATATTTGGTATACTTATATAAATGCAGGACACAGCATTGTATCTTAAAACTTATATTCAAATTAAATGGATTCTTCTTTAAGTGGATAAAATGCCTTTATTTTTGCTAAGGTTTCTTAGTTTCTCAGTCTAATCACATCTGTAGAGAAGATCACTTCATGTTTTAATATACATGCAGGGAAAGTATGGTGGAAGTGAGAAGCAAGTTTTATTCTTGATGCAAAGCAAAGACATACAATACATCTTTATTCCAGGTATCTAAATAATACTTACCGATCAAATTTTTCAGTGTTTCCTGTTTTGCCTTGCTGAATAACATGAATGAAATCATAAGTGAGAATGAAAGGCACTCGTTCCCTTTTAATCCCAAATTTGGATTTAAAGTTTCCAAGAATATGCCCAAAATCTATGTGGAAGAGCTAAAAATAGAAATGAAAATTAATTTCTCCAGGAAAATATTTTACTTCTTTAATTTGTTTAAAAGTTATCTACCTGTCAAGAGCAAGTTACTTAAAATGCACCTCTCAGTAATCCCTATTCCCTGGCCATATAGGACATATATAGGACATATAAGGACATATCCTTATAAAGGATATGTAATTCTTTATTTTCAAAGTGTTTCAAAATTAAAACTGAGAAATCAGTGCCAATAGCCAGACTGTTCTGCACATGTAAGAAGGCAATACTCTCCCCATAAGTAAGCAGATTTCAGTTTCTGGCTATGGCAATGAAGAACATTATTTATCTATTTCAGGGTTGTATACTACTGGTCATCACCAACATTCATGTAAAGTCTGCAACAGCAAGTCAGTAGCAGATTTCACGAAATCTTGCACATCCTCCTTTTCAGAGTCAAACTTGAGGCTGGGCCAAGGTGTCCTTTTGGTTGGCTGATAAGTAGGCAAAGGTTTAGGGGAAGAAGTGACTGTTGGGATGGTATCAGAGAAAATGTTTCTATATATAAATAAAATGTTGATAATGCTGTTCTAAGAATAAGAAAGTAGGCCACAGATGGACAGATTTTTACTGAAAAAGGATAAAAACTACAATAAAAATCAAAATTCAACATGGAAAATGTTTCTCCTGAGAGCATACTTGGGACATGGGTTCAAAGCAGTATACAGTACCATGCAGATACCCAAGCTAACTGTAAAGCAGCTAGTCTGGGTATTGGAAGCTGGACAACTGCATTAGTATGTTGCTCTGCCTGGGCTAATTAACCCTGCTCCTCAACAGAACTAAGGGGCCCAGACTGGCTGCCAGGCCAACACAGCTATACTGCTTTGGGCACTAGAACCTGCTTGGAATGAATTATTTCAGGCATTTCTTCCATGGCTCTACACTGTGCTGTACAGGGTTAAAACTAGGGGTGCACCGATAGAGATTTTTGCAGGTGATACCGATAGCCGATTTCTAAGGATGCATATCAGTTGATACTAATCCAATTTCTGATACCCAGCCTGGCAGTGTGGAGAGCTGCTTCAGCTGGTAAGTCTGTTGTGATGCAAGGGGAGGGGAAAGGGAAGGGGCATTGGGGGCGCAGATCAAGGCCCCCACGGTGAGAGAGGATGTGGGGCTGGGGCAGGGGCTGCCCAGCCGGGGTGGGGTGGGCACGGGACGGTGCCATGGTTTGTCAGGTGCGCAGGGAGGGTGGGGGTAGGTCCTGCCACTGCGTGTTGCTCCGCCAGGAGCTGCTGGTTTGGTGGCTCATACAGCACTCCCTTGCTCGTCTGGCGGTTCCTGCCACTGCTCCCACCGCTTGTCTGGAATGTCACAGGGGAGTGGCCATGTGCCCCCAGATCTGCGCAGAGTGGGGTGGGGCTGTGTTGGGAAGGGGCTATGGTGAATTTGTGCCCTCCTGGACGAGTGGTGGCAGCACAGTGGGAGCCGCCGGATGAGCAGGCAAGCACTGGCCGAGCCACTGCACCAGCAGCTCCAAGCCAATCGGCGGGAGCCACCCCCGCTCCCCACACCCGTCGGCAGGCACCATCCCATGCCCGCCCCGGCAGGGCAGTGCTTGCCCTAGCCCCTCCCCAACTGTGGGAGCCTTGATCTGCACCTCCAACTCCTTTCTTCCCCCCTCCCCTTCTACCACACCAGACTTACCGGCTGGACGCAGCTCTCTAAACTGCCAAGCTATGCTCCTTGCAACCTGTGCTGCGCTGCAGCTGCATGCATGCACGGGCCATTTATCGGCCTGATATGGCTGATTTCTGATATAGTAAATTTTCTTTATATTGGTGCCGATCCAATATTGGACTGATGTATGCACCTCTAGTTAAAACCCCTTGTGCCAATATTTTCAAGGTTGGTTTTTGCAAGGTTTTCCGATTATGGCTACAGTTCAATCAACACTGTCCAAAAGGCTTAATGTGG